AAAGGATAAGAGAAAGTAGATATTTCGCGAAAACTGTTCACTCGAAGTGAAATTCGTGCTGAAGACGAGCACGAATGAATCGGTGAAGATTTCCATTCATCCGATTGTTCGCAATGGAATAGAAGACGTGAGACGCGTTCACGATTTCGTTTCGCGGTTATAATTTATAGCGATTTACAAGGATTTTCCAGCGCTAAGAATAAGCATCCGTGCATTCAGAAATACGATATAATCACCGCAAGCATCGGATCTCAATCTTATCGAGCCGCGAGCGGGATGAATTTCACTTAGAAATTAGAGAATCAAACTCTGAAAGCGAGAGAAGGAAAAAGAAAAAGAAAAGGAAAAAAAAAAAAATCACCTTGAAATCTCAAACACGAATGGAGAAATCCAATTCTTTTCCTCTACGCACACTACTCACTCCAACGTGTACGTGTATAATATTATAAAACTCGTGTACACGAAATGATCGATTGGTCGTTATCAATGGAATGTAAACGCAGGCTGAACAAGTTCTCGTGTATCGCTCCACGTGTTTAAAAATAGGCCATCGTATCAGAAATCCACGAGATCAAAGAACAAAGAGAGAGAGAGAGAGAGAAAGAGAAAAGAAGGAGAACGAATAAAAGAAGAAACGGAAAGACACAAAGACGGAGATTTTACGAGATGAGGTGGTTGAACAGCGGTCGATAGAGAGAAACGATAGCGGGACTCGTAGATGCAATTTTATTTATCATCGAGCGTAGAACGGTGACGTAGAACGGTGGCGACCCAATGCCGTTTTCACCGCTGCCGCATTATTTTTTTCCTCGAGCCACCCCTCCCCACCTCTTAAGTAAGATCTCTAACTACTGTTCCTCGTACCGATGCAGTGTATCGCGTTACCGCGATCGGCCTGTGTAACTTTATAACACGGCGAGAGACTATTTCCCTCTTCCAGTCATAGACCGCAATGTTATTACTACCGAGCAAACACGTTATTTCGCAGTTTCCACGCCGGATTTACGGTGATGGGCGTACGTCGATAGGCAGATGTTTATTTCTTTTTTTTTTTTTTTTCTTTTCAATTTAAATAATTCCATCGATCGAAGGTGCATCGAGGAAACAATTCTATTTCATCGTGTTAAAGAGTTTTAACCGGTGTGCAGTGTGGATGGATAGAGAGATTTTTTTAAAATTATTTTCCGTTGGAAATCGTAAATTATTTGCATCAGAATTTTAAACTTGTCCAGATACGTTGTTGCCATGAATGTTCGATCCAGGGACTACAATCTCGACTGTTTAGAATAATCATATTCATATCGAGCATTGGCAAGACTATTATCATTTTTTTGTTTTCCCTCCCTCTTTCAAGTTTTTCTTAATATCACCGGCGAAGCTCACGTGGCTGGGAACGTGATAAAAAAAAAGAAAAAAAAAAAAGAAGTCGAATGTTAGACTCGTTATGTCGTTACGACAATCGCGAAACGCATTCGTGACCACGCCAATTACGCCATGAAAGGTGAAAGATTAGGATCAAACGAAATCTAAGACGATCGAACTCTTTCGAATATTTCTGCGATCGATCGAAAATCCTATGAAACGCAATTACATTGTTGCGCGATTGTTACGACAGAAAAAGAGGATGATCCAACGGACGATCGAAATACGGACCTCGATTCCTGCAAACGTATACAAGCATAAAAAATAAAAGTAAAATTAATTATAGATATGTTTTAACTACTGTAAAAATAAAAGAATGAGCTGCCATTGTAGTTAAACCACCAATAATACCACGTACTTGCACTGGATACACCTATCATTATCCAAGGAGTAACAAGAAAACCAAGCGTGCAAGTCCAATAGTGTATGAAAATATACATAAAACAGGTATCCAAGTAGCAATAAATCAAAGATTATTCGCAGTCCAATAGCTTTTCAACCGCATGCATCCATCCTAATCCTACCATAGAAAGTCCACAGCCGACAGACGAAGCCGTTGTGAGAGGTCTTCGTCCACTCTTTCTAAACGTATAAAACGATTAAACTAGAAGGTGATCCAAGGAACTCTTCCAATCGATCCAAATCTCGATTCCATCCAGCGGAAAAGCGCGAAATAAATGGGGAAACGCGCGTTCTCGCGAACGACTGCTCGTGCTCCGCGCGACGAGGGCGGCGAAGGGCCGGCGATAAAACCAGTCACGAGGAACATTGTGAACGCGGGGAAAACATACGACAGCTACTTCTGCAGAATTCTGTCGCGCGTGTGCGTGCATTACGCGGAAGCGTGGAACAATGCGGTGCCATTCATGGCAAAAGAAGAGAAGCGGTTGAATCACCCGCCGCCCGCTCCTATTCTACAGGTTTATTCAAACGAGAAGGTTTATTACACACGACGATATTATATCGGGGGGGGATCGATTCGTTTTCTTTCCGGTTTATCTCCGCCGCGGGGCCGAGGCGCGATAAATTCTCTGTTTCGCCTGCTCGAACCGTCCCGCTCGAAGATTAGATAGTTCCGTTTCACGGATGCTACGAGCATGTTAGAAGATTAGTAGGTTTCCAGGCGCATAATTGCAGCCACGGAGAAGGCGTTAACCCTTGTGGAATCGTAACCGATACCGAATACGAATTTATAGGAACGTCAGCTTGTAATTACGCCTCGGTGAACGTGCGGCTCGGAGAGGGGTGAAGAGAGAAAGGGAGAAAGGAATTTTATCGAATTATAACGATTTATATCCGTGACACGAGCGCAAATATTACACGTTATTGCCAATAACGTATTTACACACCTGTATCCTTCCATATTCATATTCATAAAATTTATTCCATAGTTGATCTCGTACGTTTTCACCGACTTTTTCTAATCGAGTCGAGTTGTTTTTTCAATACGATATGTATATATACACCGATCGAGAGTAACTCTCGAGAATTTCATTCTCGAATGCATTCGCAGATCGTCATTATCGTACCACCTTTTCCTCCCAACCGATCAAATTCCCTCTTCGAGTCTCAAAATTTTACTTCTCGCCATCCTACGATTCCAGGGAGAGAGAGAGAGAGAGAGAGAGAGAGAGAGAGAGAGAGAGAGAGAGAGAAG